ATACTTTCAAGGAAGGTTTTAATTTCCTGCATTATAGTCTTCATATGTAACAGTTCCATTTGATTCTTTCTTATGGTTTCTATTTATTCTTTCAAATCATGTAAGGACTTCCTTGTCTCTTGGAGTTCATTGTCTCTTTTCTCTTGCATCTTCTAGAGTTCATTGTCTCTTTTCTCTTGCATCTCATTTAGTTTTGTCACTATGAATATTCTGAATTCTTTATCTGACATTTTTATGAGTTCTATTGTACTGTCTAGGGATGATGAGTTTTTCTTGTCCCTTGGGGGAGAGATACTGTCTTGGTTTCTCATATTTCTTGTGCCTCTGTAGTGTTTCTGGTCATCTGATGCATTACACATTTCTTTCTAATTTCTTGGAGTTATTTCTGAGCATTCAGAGGCATGCAGGAGGAGGTGATCCACAATCTCTCTGTAGTTCTGTCTCCCTAATTCTCACTCAGAAACCTGCACTTTTGTCATTGGAACTGGATATTCCAAAGTCCTCCCAGTTTCTAGAGAACAGGTGCACCCAGGGTTGAGTTTCGGGGTTTCAACTGAAGTAAACAGAAGGGGTTGTGCAGCACATTCAAGGAACTATGAAGTTTGAGAGTTCAGAGGCATGCAGGTAGACATGTGCCATGAGCTCTTTGCAGCTCTGTCCTTCTCTGTGCCACTCACTCTGCAGCAATTTCATTAGGTCCAGGGTAAGGGAGGACTCTCCAGATTCCAGTTAATACACCTGAAAGTTTGGAGGGGAGCAGGTGGAGATGAGCAGCTCTCTCTGCAGCTCCATCCTTCTCCCTGCCACTCATGCTGCAATGGATGTTTAGAAGGTGCAAAGGGGTGGAGAGGGATGGGGCTCTCCAGAGTCCAGATAACACATCTGAGACCAGAGGAGTGCAGAAACAGATGAATTGCTCTCTCTGCAGCTTTGTCCTTCTCCCTGCCACTCACTCTGCAGTGGATATTCGGAAGCTCAGTTTTGTTTTGTTTTGTTTTGTTTTAAGTTTTTTTTTTTTTTGCCATAGGACGTGTGCACTCACCAGAAAGAAAGAGAAAGAGAGAAAGAGAAAGGGAAAGTGAGAAATCATCTCCTACAAAGGATGGTAGTACCACAGTCTCTTCTCCATGCTCCTCTTGTGACTCTGGGCATTAACACATACACCTGGTGTGATTTTCAAGCCGCCAGGTCCAGGACTCAAACTACAGTCAACAATGTGGGAGTCCAGCAGCTTAACCACCATGCAGCCTGCTGGCCCCATATACCAGTAATTTTTTTAAGTTTCCTAATAATCTGTTCAGGATGATTAGAAAAAGGGGACTCTACAGTCACATGAGAAGTCTTCAAAAAGATCATGGAAAATACATGGATTTCAAAAATTATCTATACCAAAATAAATTTGAACTTTACATTTACCACAAACTTTGTGAAGTCCCCTTGGGCAAGACTGAAGTTTTAGATGTACCACTTACTAACCATGATTTACCCAGGTAGTCTCTGTTTCTTTCTATATAAAAATAGAATAATAACTCCTATCCAAATTAGCTTATAGAGATTTTGTATTTATCAAATTTTGAAAGAATATGATAATGCTTTGTAAACCTAAAATACCATAAATGTTAAAATATTTAAATGCCTTAAACTTAATTTGATATTAAATATAAATATATTACCTATTATAGTATACATATTGTATTCTATACTACATAGGTATAGTAGATAATATCCCTGTTCTTAAAAGAAAAACAATGAAAGAACTTTTTCATGTTTTTTTTTTCTTTCTTTAATTATTTCTGTCTTCTTTTTCCTTTTTTTAAGTTTTTGCTATAGGGTGTGTTGAGCTTGCCAGAGAGAGAGAAAGAGAGAGAGAGAGAGAGAAAGAGAAATTACACCTTAGGGAATATGGCCACACCACACTCCCTTCTCTAGTCTCCTTTCAGGATCTTAGGCATGCATGCAGATGCTCCTGGCATGATTTTCAAGCTACTATGATCCAGGACGTGAACCCACATTTGGAAATATGGGATCAAGTGCCTTAACCTCTATGCCACTTGCTGGCTACCTTTTTTTTTTTTTTTAAATAGTTTTTACCATAAGGTGGGTGCATCTGCTCACTGGAGACAGAGAGAGGGAAAGGGAGAACTCACCCTCCCACCCCTCCTCAGGAGGGGAACAGTTGTGACATAATCCTTTCTCCTCCATTCTCCTCTTGGGATTTTGAACATGCATACACAAGTTTTGGGCATAATTTTGAAGCTGCCAGGTCTGGGACTCAAACTGCAATCAATCAAGTGGGAGTCTACATTCTAACCACTAAACCATGTGTACTTTAAATAACTATTATAGCTATAGCTAATATACTACTACAATTATTGCTAGAGTCTACAATAGCTGTTAATAATTCTTAAGACTATCACAGAGAACTTCTGTTACAGCTAAAAGCCTTACATTAGCATGACTGAGAAAAGACTTAAAAGCAGATAAATAAGGTATTGCTGCTATGAATCCTCCTTTGTATATTTTTATTGCCCATTTCCATACATTGCTCATATGCTGAGTTTTAAGCAGATGTATTTTAAAAATTACTATAAAATATTCTTTTCCTTATTAAGAACATCTAGAATACAGTGAGTTGTTAGAAAAGTCATGATGTTTTTTCTGTTTTTCTATGCAAAAAATGCATTATGACTTTTCCAACAACCCGATAAATACACAAACCCAAATATTTAATACCTGAGAATATCTCTATGGAATTTCTCTATTTTCAATGAATTTATAAAAAAAATTCATGATAATAAATATTAACTGCCTGAAATCTTCCAAGAAAAGAGCAAGAGTAAATAGTTTTTAAAATAAATAACAAAAATGATTAAAATGTTAAATCATTTAACCTGTATACTATTCTCCCAATTTTTACTTTACTAATAGTTGAAATCTCTGATAAACACATAGATTTCATACTTAGTACTACCAAGTCTGGTACCTCAAGAGTTGTATAAAGGAAATTAGAATTGACTGTCTGTCTGTCTGGTGAGTGCACACGCCCTATAACAAAAAAAACCTCTCCAAAAAAAAAAAAAGAAAAAAAATAAGGAGAATTCACTGTCAAGAAGGAAAAAAAAAATGTGTATGTCTTACACAGATTTCTAGCTGAATCTTTAGTATACTATTCCCCACGCACCACATTTGATTGTCAGAAAAGTCATGATGCATTTTTACATAGAAAAAGTATATATGATTTAATGAATTCCAAAGCCTGTGACTATACCACTGATTTTTATTCTGCCAATGAAAAAAACTGTTCCAAAATAGGTTTTGTGATGACAGTTCAAATGTTAATAAGGTTAAGAGGTAATGATAAAGAACATTTTTCTTTATTTTTAAGAGTTCTTTTATACTGCCATTGCTATTTGCACAGAAATTTAGGGATACACATAGTTTACTCTATCACATATGAAACAAATATGAGGTTTTCGGGAAAGTCATGACATATTATTCTGATTTTCTATGCAAAAATGTGTCATGACTTTCCCAACAACCAAATGTTTAACTAGAGAAAGAAATGGAAGATGGGAGACAGAAAAAAGAAAGGGATAAAACAAGATGGAGATAAAATTAGAGACAGAAAGAAGAGACAATTTTAGCTAATAAAATGAATACACGTTCATCAAATGATCTGGGGAAATGTGGTTCTGACGCAGTGGTTACAGTAGCAGCTACTGTGTCTAAAACTCTAACACAGAGCACAATTGAATCTGGTGTCTCACCTCCAGATTCCTAAAAGCCCAAATCTGTAGAAATATCAGACTTAAGGGTATAAATTTGAAATGGAGGTAAGGTTTGGGCATAAGGCTGCTCTGGGAATGAAGTCAGAATATAATTCTTACTGGTACATCAAGTATAACACTATTTATAATTAAAATATTTCTAAGTTTCCAATATCATAAGCACTAGATATTAGAAATGTATTCATGTTGAAAAATTCACATTACAAGCTAAGAGATGTATAGTGTTAAAATATATAAAAGAAATTAAAATAAAATATATTAAATTTTTAAAATTAAAGAATTTAAGTATAATTTAAATAAATGTGATAGTGATTTAAATATTATTTTGTAATATGAATAAATGAATTTTTGTGTATAAAACATCACATTTCCAACAAATCACTCCTTGTACAAGCAAACACCTTTAAGAATAGAGATTTAAAAAACAATCTTTTCTGGGGCCGGCAGGTGGTTAAGGGCATTAGACTCCATGGCAGACCACAGTTCGAGTCCTAAACCTGGTGGCTTGCTTTCTCAACTTTCCCTCTCTTTCTCTCTCACTCTGTCCCTCTTTGGTCAAATTAAAATAAATAAATAAATAAGTAAACAAAGTTAAATAAAATAATTATTTTTAAAAATATTTTCTTTTTATTTGCTTTATGATTAATTTATGATAACCAGGAGTAAGGTATAATATATCTAAAAACTGTTGCAGAAAACTTGATTCATCTGAGTAAAAAAAATACCATAAATAGGTTACTGGAACATATTAAGATATTTATGATACAATATTTACATTTTATACCAGCATTTGCAAAGTGTAATTGAGGACCATATTAATGTCATAATGTAATTTATAACCATAAATATGAGGTTTTAGAAGGACAAATGGGCAAGTTACATGCATCTATGAGGCCAGCTTTTAAAAACCAAGGTAAACATAACACGGAATTTAGAAAAATGTTAAAAAGAAAAGAAAAACTAAGTTGAAAACAAATGCTAGTAAAGAATTTGTCTTTTTGATGTAGAGTTCCCTTTCTCATGCACATTGTCCCTTAATATGGACTTCATCATAGAAATCCAGTAATGAAACTGATTAGATTAATTAACAGTGCCTGGAATTCTTTGTAAATTTCATACATGTGTTTAATAAGAATATGAACTAAACAACGTATATAAAACAACATACCCACTTTTACAAGACACTCTATTATAATTCAAAGTTCTCTTTACCTTTATTGTCTGTCTGCTTATCTGAAATCGTTGATCAGATACTTGTTGTTGATGGAGGAGTTTTTCATTGACTTCTTTATATTCTTTAATAGAAAGCTCTGCAATTTTTTTGGCATTCTGAAGTACACTGTTTTGTTGTTGCAAGGATACAATCCGTTCTCGCAATAAAATGATATTACTGCATGATTTCTGGGCAGTTATATTTTTGTACTTCTCTCTGCTGACTGTATAAAGATAAGGCTGTTCACAATATTTTAACAAACAGATTAAATTTAAAAAGTCATACTGCTAATGTCATCTCCATTCTTACCTTTGGCTGGAACCGTAGTGTGTGAACTCTTTTGCATATTACCATTCTTCTTTTGAAATATTTTTTTTTTGGTATTCTTATAATGAAAATAATCCTAAATTTGAAAGTTTCACAAAAACTATATTATTATTCAATAACAATGTAAGGTGAACCAATATAAGTAATACCTCTTAACAAATAAATATTGATCTATGCAGTTTTTTAAAGTCTGGACAATGAAATTTTATAATTGAAACCAAGAATGCATAAATGAACTTAATGTGTGCATTAATAACAATGAGCTGATAAGCAGAAGATATAAACATAAAATCAACTCAAAATAAGTAGAAATTCAACCCAGGGACAGCTTAAAGTTTATAAAGTAAATACTGTGATAGCAACAAAATTAAAATATTTAATAACTTATTTGGAAACCTAAGTCCTTTTATTGTATGTAGACAAACAAGCTTATGAAAAATAGAGCTTCTGGGGACAGCAGTTGGTGTAATGGCTATGTCACTGGATTCCCATGTAGTTAACCACGGTTCAAGTCCTGGACCCAGTGGCTTAAACTCATGCCAGGCGTGTGTGCATGCGTGCCCAAGAGCCCGAGAAAAGAATGGAGGAGAAGGGATTGCAGCGTGGCTATCCCCCTGGGGGTGATTTCTTGATTTGTATCTCTGTCTCTCCTTGTCTTTCTGGTAAGCACACGCAGCCTGTAGCAAAAAACCTCTAAATTAAAAAAAAAAAAAAAAAAAAAAAAAACTCCCTCACTAAAAAAATAATATTTTTCATGTATCTCTGTCTCTCCTTGTCTTTCTGGTAAGCACACGCAGCCTGTAGCAAAAAACCTCTAAATTAAAAAAAAAAAAAAAAAAAAGAACTCCTGACTAATAAAATAATGTTACTGCTAAAGTAATTTTCCTTGAAGCTATATATTTTCCTCATAACATTCTGATAAACCAAGGCAAGTCAAACAAAGCCATATTGAGCTTTGTTTCAAAATGTTTCACTAATTTAAAAATGCTTTCCAGGGTCCAAAGGCGGTGAGACGGTAATGTAATGCTCTGTGAGTCTGACCCACTTTGGAAGGTTTTAGGTGAGCATTAGAGACTTCTTTGACATGGCTGGCTGAAGTTAGGGGTGAAGATCCTGTTGGGGGTACCTATCTCTCTGTTTCTCTCTTTTGCTCATGGTGAAAGAAAAAGGAAAAAATGAAACTATTGGGACCAGCAGTTAGCGTAATGGCTATGTCGCTAAACTCCCATATAGTTGAGTCCTGGACCCAGTGGCTTAAACTCATACCAGGCACGTGTGCATGTGTGTCCAGGATCCCAAGAGGAGAATGGAGGAGTAGGGATTGTAGAGCGGCCATCCCCCCTGGGGGGTGGTTTCTCACTTTCTATCTCTCTGTCTCTCTCTGTGTTTCTGGCGAGTGCACGTGCCCGACTGCAAAAACCTCTCAAAAAAAAACAAAACAAAACCTATTTTAGCAAAGAAAAACATTTTTAAAGAGGTTTTTGCCTCTGAGTGTGTGAACTCACCAGAGATAGATGAAGAGAGAGAGAGAGATGGAGACGGTGAGAAGGAAAGTGAGAACTCATCCCCCTGGGGGGATGGTAACACTGCAATCCCTTCTCCATTCTCCTCCCAAGATCTTGGGCATGCATGCACATGTTTCAAGCCACAGGGTCAGGGACTCAAACCCCGGTCAGCTAGGTAGGAATCCAGTGACGTAATTGCTATGCTATCTGTGGGCCCCAGGAAGGTAAAATTTTACACGGGATTATATTTTCAAAATATTGGGTTTTCAGAAAAGTCATGATGCATTTTGGCATAGAAAAAATACGTTATGATTTTTTTCCGACAACCTAATATTATAAATCCTAATAATAAAATATTCGGCTTTGTTTAAGAATTTGTTGCTGGGGAAAAGGAATATGTTCCACCTAGAAAATGATTTCTTAATTTTTTAAAAGGGACTTTTTCAAAGATCTCAACTCAGGAACAAATAAATAATTATAAAAGACTAGATGGAAACATGCATTTGACCTACTGTTCCTTTGACAATGAGCCACAAACTTTATACTGATGGATACATAAACTATAGTGTATTAATATATATAAGGCATCATCCTAAAGTAATAAAAGTGATTCATTTCATTACTACATATACACTAGAAACCTGCACCTAAGATGTTTTTCCTTTAAACTAATTAGTTTCAAAAATTACAGAATCTTGGGACCAGCAGTTAGCGTAATGGCTATGTTGCTGGACTCCCATGTAGTCGACTATGGTTCACGTCCTGGACCCAGTGGCTTAAAACTCATGCCGGGCGCATGTGCGTGTGTCCCCAAGACCTCAAGAGGAGAATGGAGGAGAAGGGATTGCGGTGTGGCCATCTCCCCTGGGGGGTGATTTCTCGCTCTCTGTCTCTCTGTGTTTGTCTGGTGAATGCACGCACCCTATAGCAAAAACCTCTCTAAAAAAAAATTATAGAATCTTAACAGTGCTTCATTTCTCAAAATATTTTCTGAATGTTTCATTTGAACTTGTCTTTAGAACTAGAATATATAGATATTTTTTCAAATGTTTCACTGCCCCATTGATTCAATTAGCATTTAAGTGCCAGTCACACACTGAACACTGTAAAAGAAAATTCCAAAACAAAACTACCAATTTAATTACCAATATTAGTCACTTGGTAATTAAATTGGTATCAAGTTAACTACTTAAAATTGGAAAGAGCTGGACTTCTGTTTAATAGTATTACTGCTAAAAATTCATAAAAATTCTTATATTTTGAAACAAACACACTGAAAGTGTCTTTTTAGCATGACAAAACATTATTGGAAATTCTCGAAAGCCAAAAATAAAGTAAAATCATGAATCTAGGGAGACAAAAAGAAGTAATCAATAGAGAGGCCAGTTCATGGTAGAACTATTGACAATCCCATGTGACTTGGAACTTCCATTTAAATAGTAACACAGAATGCAGCGGTTAGTAAAGAAAGACTAGTCCCAAAACAAAATGATAGTTAAGAGCACAGTGGTAGCACAATACACTGTAATGCTTGAGGCCATATGGAAGACTGGGGTTCAATTCCCAAGGTGAGTTATACAAGCCAGTTGCACAGTGATGCTGGCTGGCTGGCAAAGAATTGTGGGAAGGATTACCATATGAGAGGTGAAGGCATTTCTCTAAGTAAAAAAAGAAAACGAATGTTAAAATAAAAGAAAAAGAAAAGATTACTATAAGAGTGATGAGCCAGCATGATGCCGACAAATATATGATATAACAAAAGAAAAAGCTTAGACATATCAATATGCACAAGAGATGTACATTTCATTTACAACAAAAGTGGTACTGTTGAACATAGTAGGGAGAAAATCCACGGACCAATGTGGCACTGTTGAGCACTGTGGGGAAAAAATGTGAAATTTAATCCCCTGTCTTACATTTCATGAAAACAAAACAAAACAAAACAATGCTAGAGACTGAAATGAAAATCAAAACAATAATTCAGGAAATAAAGATAACAGAAGGTAGTATATCAAAGTTGGGAGAAGAAAAAATTTACTGTATAGAACACAAAAAGTTCTATTCTTCAAGAATAAAAATTGATGAAATTGACCATATTAGAATGATAATGTGGGGCCATGAGGGGGCATAGTGGGCAAGGTGTTAAACTCCCACGTGACTGACTGCAGTTCGAGTTCAGACCTGTCATCTTGAAACTCATACTGGGTGCATGTGTATGTGTGACCAAAAATATTGAGAGGAAAATGGAGGAGAAGGGATTATGGCACAGCCACCACCCCGAGTGGTGATTTCTTACTTTCTGTCTCTCTGTCTCTCCAGTGAGCCCATTCATTCTATACCAAAATATCTTAAAGAACAAACAATAAAAAGAATTATGATCTTATATTCCTCAAAAGATTCCTTTAAGAAGAGTGTAAAGGCATGCCATGGAGTAGGGAAACAACACCTATAATGTGTATGTGTGTGTGTGTGTGTGTGTGTGTGTGTATATATATATATATATATATATACAGAAAACATATACACATATTTAAGAACTCCTACAAACCAGTAAGAAAAATACAGACAACTTACTAAGTAGTTCCAAATGATCTACAACCATAAGAAAGTACTTAGTACCTTTATTAATCAGAAACTTAAATTAAATCCACAATAATATACCTAGATATATACACAAAAGTAACTGAAATTGGAAAGACTACCACACCAATATTGATGAATATTAGACATTTCCATAGTCTGTGGCGAGTACAACAAAGTAGCAAAATACTTTGGAAAACAACATAACCAACTACTATTCTAGAAACACATGAGCTATGGTGCAGTAATTCTTCCACTCCTAGGTATTTAATACAGAAATGTACACATTTGTGCAATGGAAGACATGTATGAGAATATTCACTGCAGCAATATTTGCAAAAATCTAAACTGAAGCAACCCAAACTTCAATAGGAGAACAGATAAACCATGGCATAGTCAGGCAATGAAATGCTATCTACAATAATGAAAATTAATTAGTTGTATAATATTGAACAAAGAAGCCAGACACAAAAGGAATACAATATAGATTCCATATATTTTAAAAATAGGCAAAGTTAACCATGATCTTCAAGGATGTAAAATTATAAAGAAAATCAGAAAAGTAAGTAAATTAATCAGGATAATGGTTATATTTGGAGTTAGTGAGAGGTTTTAACATTTTCCAAGTATACTTGTAACAAATGGTCATCTTTTTTTTTTCTGACCGAGAACAATATGCATAGATATAATCAATACTTCAAGATTTAAAGTACATTAGAGAGTTAGGCAGAAACTGGTAATTTAAAGATTTAGTCAGAATTAACGACCATCATCACAATGGTTAATATGAAAACAGAAATGTCTTCTTTACTTGGTATATTTCATATATTCCAAAATGATAAATGCTTATTACTACTTTTATTTTTATGTTCATATATAAATACTTTAATATATCTATTTATGTAAATAGTATTTATTCCCATTTTCATGTATGTAAAAAGTCCTAAAAAACTGGTACTTGAAAATTAATTAAAAGTGAATTTTTCACTGTGTATTCCAAAGCCCTGATTTTTAAAAATTCAAATTAAATTACCTGCAACATTTATTAAAGTTATGATGCATACAATAAAATTAAAATCATAGCTTACAATATGCAAAACTGTGTCATATACCTTTGGGGTCTTGCCATCTGTATTTGAATATGTTTGTACTATTTCTTTTCCTTGAGTTAGACTGTCTCCTGTTTGGTCACTTTCTTTCTGCTCTCTTCCATCTTCTATCGGACTTACTTTCTGGGATGTTTCTATAATAATTGTTCCCAAATTTTGAGAGGTCTGAGTTTCAGAATCACTGCTTTTGGGGGGAAAGAGAAAACAGAGGATACAAAAATCCAAGAAGAAGTGTTACACATGCTTCTTTTAAGTTCAAGACCAAATAATATTATAGCAGAAACCGTGCATTTGTAAGTTTACTTTGGGCACTTAGTGGTTTTCAATGTAAAAAGAGAAAACTAGTTCAAATATATTTTACAAAATTACAGAACTTCATCAAGAAAATATTAATAGATTATCCAGTATCAAATCCTTTTTAGCATCATTTCTAAAGTGTCAATATTTCTACCAAGTATTAATTCAGGAAGCACATGCTGTACACTTCTAGAGTTGGCACATACACCACATTCTGAGCCAAGTTAGAAATACTTAATATTTCTGAGACCAACAGATGGCAAAATGGTTAAGTTGCTGAAGTCCCACATGGCTGACTGCAGTTCGAGTCCTGGATCCAGAGGCTTGAAACTTATGCCAGGAGTGTGTGCATACGTGCCAAATTCCCAAGAGAAGAATGGAGAAGGGATTGTGGCATGGCCATTCCCCCAGCCCCCTGGAGTGTGATTCTCATTTGCTGTCTCTCTGTCTTTGTCTCTGGCAAGGGCACGTGCCCTATAGCAAAAATCTCCTTAAAAAAAAATAAGAAGAAAGAAAAGAAAGAAAAAAATGCTCAATATTTCTAGCAGAAAATATGCTCTTCATCTGGGGCAAAATTTGAATCTCTGAAGCTTTTGCCCATTGATTCCAGTTCCATCCCTTAAATGCTCATTTATCATTCAATATAATATTTAATCATCACTACGGGCCATGTACTTTTCTACATATATGTAATAGCATGAATAAAGAAGAGAAAAAGGGCCAGCCATGGCATGATGGTTAAGGTGGCTGAATCCCAGATGGCTGACAACTCATTTCGAGTCCAGAGCCAGTGGCCTGAAAAACACACTGGGCATATGTGCCCAAAACCCCAAAAGGAAGAAGTGGAGGAGAAGAGATTGCAGTGTGACTATTCTCTTTGGAGGAGGGAAAGTACTTTCTTCACTTTCACTTTCCCTTTCTCTCTATCTTTCTCTAGGAAGCACGTGGGCCCTTGGGGGGGTGGGAAGAAGGAAGAAAAAAGCCTCTACCCTCCCTCCCTCATGTAACTTTTATCCTAGTAAGGATAGGAGAAATAAGAAAAAGGTAAAATATCCAGTAATAGTGATGTGTTAAAGAGAAAAAATAATAAACAAGAAAGAGAGATGAAAAGTATTGAGATTAAAGAGTCAGCAAGTAGCATGGCAGTTAAGGTGGCTGTATCCCATATGGCTTTCTGTGTGGTTCAAGTCCCAGACCCAGCAGCTTGAAAAACATGTCAAGCATGTGAATGTTCATGATTGAACTCGGGAGAGGAGAATGGAGGAAAAAGGATTGTGGTGTTGCCATACCCCCTGGGGAGGTGATTTCTCACTTTCCCTCTCTCTCCCTCTTTCTCTGTCAAGCATATATGCCTTATAGCAAAAAATCTAAAAAAAAAAAAAAAACCTAAAAAGTATAGAAGTTAAGGACTGGAAGATCCATGGGGCAGTGGTAACATTCTGCTCATAAAAGCTAGAACCCATGGTGACCATGGTTTGAATGCCTGGCCAATCAGCCTGAAACCTGCTAGGCATGGGCTAGAGTGCCCAGGATCTAACGGCAAGAGGACTAGAAAGAGTGGATCACGGCATGACCAGACCCCCGTGGAGGATGTTCCTTTTGGTCTTTGTCTCTCACTCTCACATGTGTGCTCATACACTATATTATGACAAAACAAAAAAAACCCAATAATACAAAAAGAAACATTGAGATTGAGAGGAACATTTAAGACCCTTTTCTACATGGACAATCTATTAACTGTTTGGACACAGTTACATGCTGCATGAGATATCTCTAAGAAAAACATCCCTAATGTGTTTCGAGATGCTTAACCACCGAGATCACTCTTGAATGTGTTTTAGTTTATCAGGATGGAGCAATATGTACAGATTTCAATTCCATATTCCAGGTATACTATGAAAAGTACTTCGATGAACTCTTGTTAGAAGTAGGCTAATACTTGTCTATGTTTTTTCCAACATGTATACCATACTAAAGACTTACAGAAGACTTAACAAAACCTCTAAAATATTTCTGCATACGCGATTATAAAGCCACATTTTTTTCCGCTGGATAGTTGAATTATAGAGCCAAGAAAGCTACCCAGTATTCTTTTGTGTAACTGTATCTTCCCAACCTATCGAGATCTTTGAGAATCTTGATTCTATCTTATAAATTATTTTCCATCCCCTTTAATGTCATGTTATCTACAAATGTGATAAGCATGCTTTGTTGAAATGTAGTATTTATCAGTATTACAATCATGTTTTTAAAAGAGATAGGTTAATCCAGTAGGAATTTCCCTTGAAGAAACCATGCTAGCTTTGAGAAATTACTGCTTCTTTTCAGAAACATTCACAATTTTTTATAATGTCTTAGAATCTTATTTAGGATTTATTTTTAAAACATCAACTAGAGAAATGCCCTTCTTCCCATTTTTAAATATTAAAACCAAATGTGTCTTCTCTATTCTTATACCTTTCGGGTTCTCCTTCAAAAAAACAGTAATTGATCACATCTACATGTTATTTTGATATCCTGTAATTCAGCATTTCTGGATCAGAAATGTTTTCCTATTATTGCTCACCTCTTTTTGTATTCTATTCTTTTTCTGTTTGCCCCCAAAATAGCAATTCAATAAGTAATTACTAAAATGGTAAGAAAGGTGGCATAAATATATTTACCACCGAGAAATTCTCAAGAAGAAACTGTTTAAAATCAATTAAAGAGGCCCTCTTGGGAAGATGTCTTCAGGGTAGGGCAGAGTGCTTCCCCCTTTCCCTTATAATTCTTCATTTATACTTAAAACAATATTAAGTGAATATCTTCTATGCCCTATGTATGAGTGATGATTAATGAACAAATTCTGTAAATATCACTGCCCTCATGAAGTTCACATTCTAGCCAGGGGGGACACTAAGCAGGAAACAAAATAAATTTGAAATATTACATAGTATGCTGTAAGGTAATAACTGCCCCTGGAGGGAAAAAATAAGCAGAACAAGAGGCCAAAATCCAGAATACGTAAGAGAACAGATTCTTTCTCTTCCTGAAATGAGAACAGGTTGCAATTTGATAAACACTGCCTACTAGTAACATTGGAGCAACGGTTTACGGAAAGTTAGCTGTATAGATGTCTGGGAAAATGCATCCCAGGCAGAAGTCAGGATCAACTAAAATTCCTGAGGCAGAAGGTCCCCCTGGCAAGGAGCAAAACACTGTTCCTTGTGGGCAGAACACAGTAAAGAGGGACTAAAGAAAAGGTTGAAGGCAGTGATATTAGGGCACTTTTGGTAGTAATCCAGGCAGTAATAATGATAGCTATAAGGTAATAACAATAGAAATGATGAGAAGTGGTCAGATTCTGAATACTTGAAGAAATCCACCAGGATTTCTTAACAGATTGGATGTGGGCAGTGAAAGACTGAAATCAAGATAATTCCAAGATTTTGGACAGAGCAATGGTAAGAATAGAATTATCATTTGTTAGGAAAAGGAACAAAGCAGCTGAAACAGGTTTTGTAGAGTGAAGGGCAGGAATATAGATTAGGCAATAAGATAACCAAGTTATGATGCTGCATTGATAGTTAACTTTACAAGTATAAAATTCAGGAGTGAAGCCTAAACAGGAAATAAAAATTTGGGGATAGCTGGCACATAGTTGGTAAAGATTTAAATGGTACAAGATCACAAAGGATTGAGTCCAAAAAGGACAAAGACACCCAAAGACTGATACTCTTTTACACTAAGAGATGGGGGGAAGGCTCAAAACCAACAAATGGCACTGAGGTTAAATGTCAGTGAAAAGGAGAAAATAAAGAATAAGATGATAAAGTATAAATAGAGGAAGTGAAACTAACTGTGTCAAATACTGTTGAGCAGTCAAGGATGAGGACCTTTGGGTGTGCCAATGTGGTGGTGACAGTGAAAAGAATTATTTAAGAAGGATGATGAGGGATGAAAGGAACTTCAGTTGGAATCAGTTGTTTACAAATGGTGGTAAAGTGAATATACTGCTTTATAAGTGAAAATGGAAGAAAGATGAAAAGAGCTTTAGGACTAAGACTGAAAACTTTCAAAGGATCCAAATGGCATGATATTTCAGAAACAAACAAAAATGATTTCAAAGATTATTAATGTCTTTTAACAATAATTTTGAATGACAATAAAATGTGCCGATAAAGATGAAATGTTGGTTAGAATAAAGGCATAGAATCATGAATGTTTACATGTTTTGTAAAAGCAACAAGAAATTCTTCAAAAGCAATTCTTTTTGAAGAAAGAATTTAATAATAATAATAATAGAAAATGGAGGTAAGAATTGTAATTGTGAAGATGGAAAACAAAAGAATTTCCCTTTACTCTTCTAAAATTCTCAACTGGGGCCTAGTAACAAAAGACAGATAAACAAAAGAAAATCAAAAAAGTTTATTAGCATGTGTATCTCAAATGTAACACATGGAAGTACCCAAAGTGAGTAACTTAAAGATGTAGCTTAGAATGGCATCTTATATAGCATCTTCACCAATAGCAATAAATTTTTATTTAAGTGACAAGAGGAAAAAACCTTGAATCCCAAGGATCAGCAAATTTGGGGAAGGCACATACATGGGATACTAATAGTAGATCAAGGCTAGTTAATAAAGTTTGTCATATAGATTCTTCTGGGGTATGCCTATGCTGATTGATTAAGGTCTAACTAAATTCCCTTCAATGATTAGCTTTCATCTTTCCTGGTAGAGAGGGGAGAAGAAACATATTTATAAAATTATGTTATGCTTTTATAGAAAGGGCAGAGAGCTTCTCTTTTCTGCTTGTTCTCAATTGTCTGCAGCCCAGAATAGTTCTTTACCAAGTGAGTGTATTTGGAGGTGGCACATTCTGCCACCCTTTATAATCTTCTTAAAAATTCTTACTTCTGTGCTTTTCTCCATATATTTCACTTCTCTCCTTCTTTAATTTGCTAAGGATATTAAAATTGTTTTTCTTTTTGAAGGTATAAAAAACTTTTGATTATCACTAAGCAGGCCTGCTTTTGTAAATGCTATGCAACTATGGAACATAAATATTAATAAAGTGATAATTATATAATATAATGTTATATACATAGGACTAAGTTCTATTTTTCTCAGCATCCAAGAAATTTTCCTATATTTCAGACTATAAAAACTTAAGAGAAATAAAATCTGAAATCCCTGAAGTTCCACTACAGAATTTTGAACTACTTGACAATTCTTTGCAGCTGAGTGATTCCTGAGAGTGTTCAAGTCAGGCAGGAAATGTTAACTCTTAATCCTCACAGTATAAAATTATGCTCCACTGCTACATAACTTAAATGACAATTCTAAATAGTAAAAGATACTGTGTGATACATCTCTCCAAATATGTGACCTTGTATACATCCACTAATAGAATGAAATTGAATCCTGTCATGTAGTCATATCTACACACTTGCACATAAGTAAATTTCACCACCATATTTAAATGGTATGGCAATACCAGGTGGCTGAGATATAATTAGCAACTGAAACTAGAATTTCCTTGAACATATAGATAAACGTTTAGTGGGTTTTAAGTAAGATTTTCTCTCATTGCTTTTGAGAGAAGGGAAGAGGAACCTGGGAAAAGATAACAAGGAAATGGAAATGAGATTTGGTCCTCTGGCTTTATATTCATAAATTTATTTTTTGAGTTTCTTTACCTGTGTGAGGACAAGGAGCTTGGGCTGATGATCAATTAAAACAGTAGCTTCCAGAGCTAGTGAAGCCTGTATTCTGCCGAAAATGTTCTATTTTAATTGGGCTGGGATGTGGCATGAGCTTTGGAATTTTTGTGAGACCTCCAGGTGATTCCAATATACAAACAAGTTGGGGAACCATATTTTAAGATAACTTTCAGTTCTTTGTAATTAAAAAAGCTATTCAGTGGCCAGGAGGTAGCACAGTGGTGACACTGTACTCACAGGAAACATACTGGGTTCGCATCCCAGGACCTACCTGAGTGAACTCAGCATATGTCTGATCTGGTCTGGCTAAGCCTGGGGAGGACTATGGCATGAAAACCTCATTGAGTATGTCTCTCTCTTCATCATGGAAATCCATAAATAAACTTTAATTTAAAAAGAAAACTATTGAGAGACTTTGTAAATCTAAAATAGAACCACTCTTGGGAATTTAAAAACAAAACACTAAAAAAAATAAAAGGAAGTATATGTCATTATAAACAAGGCATATTTTTAAAAAATTATTAATTTAATTCCATTTGTTATTATTATTATTTTAATTTGACTAGAGATATATAGAGACAGAGAGAAAGGGTAATTGAGAAAGCAAGCCAACCGGTCCAGAACTCGAATGGCAGTCAGCCATATGGGAGTCCAGTGCACTTATCCCACCACACCACCTGTGGGCCCCAACAGGGCAGTTTTTAACCAGACAAACTGTTAGCAATTATGACAACACTAAACTTCTCTACTGTCTACATATAAAAATGAGGTTTTCTATCATTCATTTGTCTTTGTGGTGTTAGTAACATGTTTCAAATGCATATACGAATGTATAGCCGGGGTTAAGGAAAGAAATATTATAGATGTTTAGTATTCTCCTGTTGCTATTCACTAGGGGTTATATAACTTAAAACTAGGAATCTGTAGAGCTATAACTTTAAAGAACTAATTTTTAACCACCATTCAATTAAAGTTAATACAATGACTTTGCATAATACATACATGAAATAATTAGTGAAGATGGTTCTTAATTTAAAGGATGTTAAACAGCTTGTAGACATCTGGTAACAAGCTGAAATGGGTCATTCAAAATTTATCTAACTAAATTAAGGGGGAAAAATGTTTCTCCTCCCAGGTTGGCATGTCACAAGATAACTAAACCGACTTAGTAGGCTTGCCTGGGAATCCTTAGCTGTCAGTGGTGAATATGCAAAGGGCCAGCAAATTAAATCAACCTGCCAAACTGTCAATTTCAAGCCTCATGACTGCATGAAAATAGCATCACTGGAAGAAATCAAGCATTGCCTTCTTTTGGGTTTCCTGGCACCTATTCAAATACTCATGCAGTTGTGGCTAATTTTGCATGCAAATTTCAGTCAATAAGCTCAGAACAAGACCTCCCAAGATATTTCAAAGGATCTGACAGTATTTTTTCTGAATACCAAATCGACAGTAGTTGAAATTCAATCTCCATTTGCCAGTGCTTTACATATGCACAGTGTCCCCACCACAGAGCTAAGTTAATGAGGGCCTTACCTGCTTTCACTCACATCCTCCCAGCCGTCCTTGCTGAGGTTCTCAAACACATTACTCATAACCTTGATGGAGTGATTGAGAACAGTGTGGTGACTACCCACAGAGCACTTTCTCTTGGCAGCTTTGAATTTAACCTTGGTAGTAGTTGTTTTACAATCATACTGTCCAGGTTTCACTTCCGTGATAGCCATCTCAGATTTGGCTTTGTCTGCTGAATGGAGTGGTTTCTCCACTGGCTTCACCAGCTCTTCATTTTCGTTTCTCAATGCATTTGTTTCTGCCACCTGTCTCCTTAGGGAAGTGACTTCTCCTTCCAGCTCATTGATTTTTACTTGAAGTTCAGTTCTGTCTTTTTCTACACTTTTACTTCCCTTTCGTAGCTGTTCTAGCTCTTTTTCTCTGGTCTCTGCATCTTCTTGCTGCTCTTTTAAGAGGGAATTCAGGAAATCATTTTCTTTCATTAATTTTTTATTCATTACTTTTAATTTTCTTGATCTTTTCTCAAAAGATTTTAGCCGATTTTCCAACTCAATGACCTAAACAGAAGAGTTTAATTTATTCTTTTAAAATCAAAACCATAGTGTACTGTATTTTTATTAACATTTCTAACTTATGAAAGAAAAGTTATATTTAGCACAAGGACAAAATAAATCTAAAGCATTTAATTTCTAAATAGTTCTAAGGTGGTGTAGATGAATACATTCAATAATGCAATAATACATCTGTTGAATAATAGACAGAAGGTAAAAAGAATTCTATAATTCTAAAATTCTATATAAAGTGACACAGAACTAAATGTGTTAATAAAGTGTAGAGTTTTCTGAGCTCCTAACTGCTTTAGCTATAAATACTATTCTTGGGCATATATTTTTAGAGAAAAATAATTTACACAAAAAGTTTAAAAAGACACACGCAGAGAAACTGTATTAATACATAATATTTTCATCATCACTGAACAGTCAGGAAAAACTGATGTCTGTAAAATAATACACTAAGACTGCTTTATTTCTAAATTAGAAAAATGTAACTGTCATAGTCACAAAGTCCTTATTTTATACAAAAATGGAAAATTTTAGCAAAAAAAAGTTAATAATTTAAAATGACAATTTAAAGGTTTCATATAAATGAAAATTTCCCCCATTTATTTCAATAAACAATTTTCATATTGTAGTACATACCAAGGGTAACATATACTTCCTGACCCTAAGGAATTTGAAAATCTATGTTAAAAGCCAGACATTCATATATATATAAACCTAATAAAGACTATGATCTAAATGCCATAAGTCTGAACAAAAAGGAAAGAGCAATTAATTCTAACTTATAGGTACAAAAATTTCATAGAGGAATTTACTTAGAGCTTACAAAATTGATGACAGGTGCTACAGTCTGCAGAGTACATTTTACTATTTACAAAATATATATTTTTTTTTGGAGAGGTTTTCGCTATAGGGTGCGTGTGCTCGCCAGACAGACAGAGAGAGACACAGAGACAGAAAGCGAGAAATCAACCCCCAGGGGGGATGGTCACGCCGCAATCCCTTCTCCTCCATTCTCCTCTCAGGATCTTGGGCACGCATGCACATGCGCCCAGCGTGAGTTTTAAGCCACTGGGTCCGGGACACAAACCGCGGTTGACTACGTGGGAGTCCAGCGACATAGCCATTATGCTAACTGCTGGTTCCCTTTACAAAATATTTTCATCAACATGATCTCTTTTGATCATCAAAAACATGGGGTGGAGGGGCAGCAGTTAGTGTAATGGCTGTCGCTGGATTCCCATGTAGCCGACTGTGATTCGAGTCCCGGACTCGGTGGCTTAAACTCATGCCAGGTGCGTGTGTGTGCGTGCATGCCCAAGATTCCGAGAAGAGAATGGTGGAGAAGGGATTGCAGCATGGCCATCCCCCTGGGGTGAGGGTGGGGGGTGATTTCTCACTTTCCATCTCTCTGTCTCTCTCTGTCTTACTGGTGAGAGCATGTACCCTATAGCAAAAACCTCTCCAAAAAAAAAAAAAAAAGAGGGAAGTGGAACCAATAATTGTATTTCCAGAAGAAAAGGGAGACATCCTAAATACTTTACACATAGAAGTAAACTTTTCTTGATTTGAACTGGGATTCAAGATCAGAATTTTGGGCCTCTCTCACCATTCTACAAGCCATATAAGAAGTGTACCCAGATATATATGGAAAATAAACAAAGACCTGGAGTAAAAAACTAAAGACAACCAAGAAATCAAAGAACTAGAATATAAAACTAAAGGCAAGCAAGAAATCTAAATGACTGAATAACTATACAGGCTCATATATACTTTTTTTTAAAGGAGTGGGGGAGAAAGAGAGACAGGAGAGTGAGAAAGCAAGTCACTAGGTCTGGGACTTGAACCACATTTGCCCAGCAATGTGGGAGTCCAGCACCTTAACCACTTTACCACCTGCTGGTCCTGATATTTACTTTTTATTTAAGAGAGAGATTTTTGCTATAGGGTGCATGTGCTCACTGGAGAGGTAGAGAGAGACATAAAGTGAAAAATCACCCCCTCCAGGGGATAGCCAGGCTGCAATCCCTACTACTTCATTCTTCTCTTAGGATTTTGGGCATGCATGCACATGTGCCAAGTATGAATTTCAAGAAGCTGCAGAGTTCAAGACTCAAACTGCCAAAAACCACATGAGAGTCCAGTGTCTTAACCCTATGCCACCTGCTGGTCTCAGACTCATATTTACTTCTAAAACAAAATTCTTCAAGGAGAAATATAATGTGTTGACAACTGCAATGATATTAATGCTAGTGACTCCCAAATTCATAAATGGAAACCTAATCACCAATGTCATGGTATTAGGAGGTAGGATCTTTGGGAGGTAATTAGCCCACTGAGAGGCCCTCTTGAAGACATCAGTGCCTTTATAAGAGAGACTCCATGGGAACCAGCAGTTAGCGTAATGGCTATGTCATTGGACTCCCACGTAGTCGACTGTGGTTTGCGTCCCGGACCCAGTGGCTTAAAACTCACGCCGGGCGTGTGTGCGTGCGTGCCCAAGATCCTGAGAGGAGAATGGAGGAGAAGGGATTGTGGCGTGACCATCCTCCCTGGGGGGTGATTTCTCACTTTCTGTCTCTATGTCTCTGTCTGGTGAGCGCACGCGCCCTATAGCGAAAACCTCTCCTCCCCCCCCAAAAAAAAAGAGAGACTCCACAGAGCTAGCTAGTTCCCTCTGCCATGAGAAGACAGAGATAGATGGCATCACCTATGACCAGAAAGCAGGCCTTACTAGATATCAAATCTGAGGGCATCTTGATCTTGGCCTTTCAAGCCTCTAGAACTATGAGAAACAAATTTAAATTTTTGCTGTTTACTGGTATTTTGTTTTAGCAGCCTGAAAAGACCAAGGAAACAAGCAATGATTTTAAATAATAATAATAATATATCAGAAATGTACAAGATAGAACTTGTACAAAGGAATTCCAAAAGGTTTGTAAAAAAAAAGAAATTAAAGCACAAATTTTTGTGTGTACAAAAAAAAAAAAAATATCCTTTTAAGCTTAGTGTGTTTTGTTGTTTTTAAAAAGATTTTCCCCCCATAGGGCATGTGTGCCTACCAGATAGAGAGAAGGAAAGTGAGAAATCACTCCCCCTAGGGGAGATGGACATGCCAAAATTCCTTCTCCTCCAGTTTCCTCTTAGGATTTTGGGCACATAAACACATGCACCTAATGAGATTTTTAGGCTGCCAAATCTGGGACTCGAACTGTGTTCAGCCATGTGGGAGTCCCATGCCTTAAACCCATGCTATATGCTGGCCCCAAAATGCTTAGTGTTTTTACAATATGCATTTTCCATCTACTTGTTGAAGACCCCAACATACACATTCTCAGAACTTTCTAGTTTACTGAACCTTATTTATGATGGTGATGATATAAGCTGTTTTCTAAACATGTAGTCATCTCTGATTTACCTATCCTTCCATATCTGCTATTCTTCATGTGAGTTTAACCTCTTTAATTTAGTTTACCATTTACTGATTGACTATCCTATCCCTGAGCATAAATATTTACAAATACAATATGAAGAATCTCACATAATTTTAATTATTTTTATTCAGCAGTATGATATACTCACCAACTATTGGGTTCATATCCTTATAAGTCCTATTCTTGATCTGGAGTAAAGGCATATGAAAAATTTTATACCAGACTATGGGGGTGGTGGTGGAGGGGCTCAAAACATTCAAGGAAAAGGTTAAGTGGCAAAATATTTCATCTATTTTACTTTTAATTTACTCATTTGTGAAATAAAAATAATAATATCTATCTAATAGGTTTGTTTTATTGAATATAATTATAAGCCATTATTCCTGGCAGATTAGTAAGTACTAAACAATTTATTATCATTGTCATCATTTTTATATCTATTATTATTATATTAATCTTAGCAGCTACCTAACAAATTGCTTGAACTAAAACACAATTACTTGTTCAGAATATTCTGAATTAGCCATTAAATAAACTTTATACTTTTAATTATCAGAACACATGTTGACCTATTAGCAGTGGTCATCAGACCACTAACATCAGAGGCTTGGGTTCAGTCCCCAGGCCAGTCTGAACGCACTCACCATGGCTGCCTATAATCCTAACGAACTTGAAAACTGGGTGGGAGGATTAAAATATACCCAGATCCTGTCAGGAATACCTATCTCTTGGACCGGCCCCAAGCTTAGCATTAAAGGAGCCAGTGGTTAAGGCCACCTACTGTTTAAATCCCAGCCCCAACAGCTTGAAAAACAGGCGAAAAGTTGGACAATATGGAAAAATAGAGGGAAAAGGATTACAGCATGATATAGTTGGGAGAGTGCTTTCTCTGCCTCTTTCTCCCTCCCTCTCTGGTGAGTGCACATGCCCTTAGGCAATTAAATACCTATCCATGCCTCTCTCCCTCCTTTATCCCCACTTTCTCTCTTTCATAAAGGAATCAACCACTCGTAAAATATTATGAACAAATGAAGCAAAAATATCTTAAATTTGAAATTTTGAATCTGGAGCTTAGCATTGTGTTTTTCTTTTGACTAAAAGCCATTTGAGTTTGAGAACAATTCATAAAGATTTTACATATGTTGGGGCTCAGAACACAAAACCCAGCTTATGGCACACCTTGTTTTGCTGAGCACTTTCGACTAAAAGACACTGAAAGGTCCTCAGAAACAAGGTCTCTCTAATCTCCTGCCCTGTGTCTCCCATCTCTCTTTTTTATCCAGAAGTGAGTCATTGAAATCAGAACTCCTTTTCACCATGGCAGGTAACTGAACTATTGTAGAATTGCTCTCCCACCAAACAAGCCACAGAGCTCACTCTCTCCCTTCTCCTTTCTCCCTTGACGACCTATTTCAGAGCGGTCATGCCCTATACCCAGAAGAAGGAATGCCACACAGAGAGGCCAAGAAGAATCTGAGCCCAGGGCGTACAAGATCATATTCTTTTGAGCAATCACATTTCTATCTGACTATCCATTCTTCATCACCTAACCATAAAAATAGTTTTTCCTGGGTCTTTGGGTCTTAATATCTGAATGTACCCATGTCATGTAAAACTTTGATTAAATAAATTATTATGCCTGCCCCTATTAACCTGACATTTGTTACAGGAATATTGGCTGTGACTCTTCTAATAGGCAAGTAGTTAGTACTGTCTACTTTTACACATACCAGTGAAAAATATCTGGGGTTGTAAAGTCTGTAAACTGCCTAATGTGAATCTACATTTAATCATGAAAACTGATTAAAATTATTTATGTTTAAGTTTAAAATGGATAACAAATAACAAGATAGAGACTTCTAATTTTTTTTTTTTTGAGAGGTTTTCGCTATAGGGCACGTGCGCTCGCCAGCCAGCCAGAGAGAGACAGAGAGAGAGAAAGCAAGAAATCACCCCCCGGGGGGATGGTCATACCACAATCCCTTCTCCTCTATTCTCCTCTCGGGATCTTGGGCATGCACGCACACACGCCCGGCATGAGTTTTAAGCCACCGGGTCCGGGACGTGAACCGCGGTCGACTACATGGGAGTCCAGTGGAGCCATTACGCTAACTGCTGGTTCCTGAGACTTCTAAAATTTTGAAGAGTGTACAGCAATTATTAAAATGTTATTCATGGTTTACTCTCAAAAATGTTAAACTGATTTTAAGCCTTCAACAACAAAAAGGCAAATCTCAACATAGTATACAGTACTTGAGGATGAAAGTCTGAGGGACTGGGCCAGCTGGTGGTATGTGGTTAAGGCAGCTGGATCCCACATGGCTGACAACATGGTTGGAGTCCTGGACCTGAAGGCTTGAAAAATATACTGTGTGTATGTGTGTGTGTGTGTGTGTGTGTGTGTGTGTGTACTCAAAATTGAAAAAAGACAAATGGAGAACGGATGGTGCTGTGACTATCCCCCACAGGGGTTGCTTTCTCACTTTCCCTTTCTCACTCCTGTCTTTCTCCTGCAAGCACATGCACATTCTACCAAAAACAAAAACAAAGAAATAGAAAACCAAAAAAAAGGAATGAAAAATCATTGGTTGGTTTGTTGTAATATCAGCTCAAGTGCATACTTTTCTTTCAGTACAAAATATTTAAAATGATTACTTAATAGATGGCTCTTTTCAAGATTGAAATATAACCACTGATACTGTAAAGGGTAAAAAAGGGATTTAAAAAAAAATCATGGAAAATATGTATTATGAAAAAAACTACACAGGGATTTCAAATTTTTTTGCACCAAAATAAATTTGTATTTCAATTTTGTTTTTCTATAAACTTTTTCAAGTTTCCTTCTATATCAGTTTTGTAGGACTCCCATAACAAAATAAGAGAGTGGATGACTTAAAAACAGAAATTCCCCATAGTTCTTTACTTTAGAAATCAAAGATCAAGGGACCTTCAGGGCTGGTTTCTTCTGAAACCTCTCTTTGGCTTGTGGATGGCAACATTTTTTCTCTATGTTTACCTGTTCTTCCTTCTGTCTGTGTCCTAATTTCCTTTTCATAAAGACACTAGTTATTAACTTAAGGCCCATTCTAGTAACCTCATTTTAACTTAAATACCTCTTCAAAGACCCTATCTCTGAAAACAGCCACGTTTTGAGATACCAGAGATTAGGACTTTAATACAGAAATTTTGGGGAGACAAAATTCAACAATAACTATATGAAATGTTAATACATTATTTTTAAATAATTTGCATATATGCTTCATTTCTACTATATACAAATATTATTTTCATCTTGTTACTGTTTTTTAAATCTACCTTCAATGAGTTTCATATATGTTTTTTTAAAATAAGGAAACACAACCATGCAGAATTAAATTATGACTAAGAAAACTGCATTAGGTAATATAAAATTAATGACAGGCCCAGACAGTGGTGGTATAGTAGTAGCACAATGTCCTGCAATGCTAGAGGCCATATGCAAATCAGGGTTTGGTTTCCAGGTCAACCTTTCCTTTTATACTCTTGAGTTACATGTGCAGGTCTGTGATCCTGGATGGTTGGTACAGGCATGGAGAGGGGTCATGGCATACAACTCAGTGGGGATACTCATGCCCCCAACCCCCATTCTGTATCTCATGAAAGAAAAACAAAGATAAAGAAACTTTTTAAAAAAATGACAAGTTCATTTGCTTAATGTGCCATACAGTTTAATAAAAATAATTTGTGTTGTTTTTTACAGGTCTTCAGATGAATTTCTGGATCCATATGGTAATCACTTATGGTGGTTGGAGTGAGATAATAAATTTCTTGAAGGCTTATAATCTAGACAGTAGATAGCATATCCACAGAAATAAAAATTAAATAAAACTTAGCAAACAAAAAATACTGTTCTGAAATAAAGATGATAAGCAAGTATAAACTATATGAAATTCCAGCTAGTAATATATAGATTATCTTACTCATTTTACCTTAAGATAAATGAATATTTCTTATTTCTTATTCTGTAATTATGTTAACCAGATGTGTCACTTAATAATGAGATGACAATCTTTGTTACCTGAATGGATGGCAAGTATTAGAAGTATAAGGAATCTCGGGGCCAGCGAGTGGTATAGTGGCTGGGACACTGGGCTTCCACATGGCCAACTGCGGTTTGGGTCCCAGACCTGGTAACTTGAGGCTCATGCTGGGCATGTGTGTGTACATGCCCAGGGTCCCAAGAGGAGAGTAGAGGAGAGAGGATTGTGACATGGTCACTCCACCTGAGAAGTGGTTTCTCACAATCCGTCTCTATCTTTCTGGCGAGCACATGCACCCTATGGCAAAAATCTCTCAAAAAACAAAGAAGTATAAGAAATCCCATTTGCTATACATCACTAGATTTTCTATAATTAAATCTGCAGATGCAAGATAAAAGTAGCAATATTAATATTTTGTTTATATATCTCGCATTTTCAGTTCTAAGTATTAAAAATTTATAAAGAATAAAACCAAGTCATCGTAGCCAAACGACAATCATAAGACTAAACTCTTTAAAGGGCTAGTTTTATGGCCTACTGATAAAGGGAGCCAGATCCCACATGGCCAACCATGGTTCAAAAAACATACTAGGCACATGTGTATGCATGCCCCAAATCCCAACAAGATGGAGAAATGAAGGAGCAGGGATTGCAGCATGATGACACCTCACTGGGGGTGCTTTTTTTCCTTCTATCTCTCTCTGGCAAGTACCCACACCTTTGGCAATTAAAAAAAAAAAAAAGCATCTTTATAACAACAGAAAGTGTTATTACAAACTGGTCCACTTAACTGAACTGGATAACAATGGATTTATATACAAATATGTTAAGAATAAAATTATAAAGATAATCATTTTAAAACTTATTTTACTATCAATGATGCTATATTGTTACTCTGGGATTTATTTGCATGTTTTTATTAAAACATAAAAAGCTATCATATGAGTATGAACTTGTATCTAAAATGAGATGTCATACATATTTTCAAGGTTAAAATGTGGTAGAAATACAACCATCCTAAGTTTTTCAGTTCCAATACAGTATATCTGTTTGTTAAAGTGTGGCATAGTCTCATCATGATTCTTTTTAAACTTAAACTGCTAAGTTAGAACTAATAATGACATATAGTCTAATTTTTAATAATTCCTATTATTTTCATTCTATTTCATCTCTGAAAATATTTTTAATCTATGTCAATGGAAGCACAAGTGTTTACACATTTATTTTACTAACATTGATTTTTTTTACCTCATTTTGGCAAGCCAATGATTTTGAATTATGAATTTAAAGTAAGGATTCACACAAGGTTTAAGTTCATGAACCTTCGTTTTAAAATATAATTCTTTATGTTAAAATTCAGATTTAACTTGCTCAGCTCAATAACTTAAAGATTAGACTACCTTCTGTAATGTCTGCTCCAACATTTCTTTCCCATTCTTCTCTGGAGTACTCTTCTTGACCCCATCATCTTCATCGTATCTAAAGAGTTGTTCTGGTAGAGAATAAATAATGTATTATGATACCTCATATGCTGCTGAAACACTGCCCTATCATTGTTAAAGAAAAGCGGTTCATGATTTTTCAAGTGTGGATAATCTAATCTATTTTCTTCTCAAGTGTTTGGTCAGTAACTAAACAGTGACGTCTTTTCAAGATTTTCAGTCACATAATTATGTATCTTTGTAGTGTCACATTTTTTTCTGCAGTGTAAGATTTTTCAATAGTACAATAGATCTGCAGGTTAACAATGCTATACTTTTGTTCCTATTTTCATTCCTTTGTAGACTATTCCCCTTTTGCCTTAAAAGCAGAATTCATTGCCTTTTTATCTACAGTCACTACTAGTTTTGTTCTCTGGATCTTGTACCCTGCCAGGAGGATCAGAGTGATTGCTGAACAAAGCAAACAGTAACAGAATTAGGATGGACTAAAACTGTAACACCCCCCCCACACACACACACCAACACCTTTTTTTCAAGTGAAAGATCATGCACTGGGTAGAGTATATCATCAAAAATAACATTTTCTAGAAAAACTGTGATTTCATAACAAATAGGAACCAAGGTATATGGGAGAAGCTGTTTCTATCAATCATTTTTACACTGGCTATGCATTTGACTACCAAAATCTTCAATCAAGCAAAAATCTATATGTAATTTACCAACTTGAAAGAGAAAAAAGAATCAGAAAACCAGTTAATATTATTAAAATTGAAATATACCAAAACCTATAAATTTTTTTCTAATCATTTAAATTACTGTGACAAATTTAACTAACATTTTCTAACTAAATTATTTCTGAAATAATGTTTCCAAAAGAATGAAAAAGGGGGGCAAAAAGAATACATAAAGTTAAAAGAATACATATCTGTATTAGCCTGAGATGATTTTGCTTTAAAGTATGCTCAGCTGCTGTAGGTCAGTGTAAAACTTTGATTTATCAACAAAGGAAAAAGAAAACAATATTATTCTCTGTAGAGTAGAAATCCTCTTGGTATAAACAGTGACTAACAAGTTTGTTAGAGTGAATTAGGCATTTCTTTTGTCTTTGAAACATGACATACCCAATTAAAACTTCTGTACTCATGAAATAAATAGAACACTATCCTAAGGATAATAAAAGCTAGAATAGGTAGATTTTACCACCTGGGGAATAAGTACCTTTACCTTGATAATAATCTATCAGTTCCCAAGCTTCTTTTTCTAGTCCCTTAACACCGGGATGCTGAATTCATTTACAAGACTCTTTCAGCAATACAGAAATAATATGCAAATACAATTCATCTTTTCTAGTCATTTAAATATCTGCAATCGTTCTGAGTGAAATATTTAGTCTTAAATAAAAGATAATAGTTCTATATTCAAAGGGCATAGAGTCTAAAAACAGCTAAATAACTCCAATAAAATAAAAGTTTAAGATTGATTTTAAAATGAATTTGCTGCTGTTTTGCTCCTGGGTATGTGCAAAGCCCACTGGTAGACTGGTTAACTATGTTTACCTGGGTAGTCCGATGACAAGTTTGTTGCTTACTTACACAGGTTTTAGATAGAATACTCAAATAGTTAGGCCCAGGACATTGAGAGGAATAATTTCACAGTTCTCAGTCTCTCCTCTTCAAGGATTTCAAGATTTGAGAAATGAACCAAGAAGATCTGGTCAGAAATAAGGACTTTTACTTGTTTTTCCTATGGAGGATGTATAAGTGTGTACATCACTTACTAGAGATTTTCTGTGGTTGTTGTTATTGGAGAGGGTTTTTATTTTTATTTATTTATTTTTTTATTTTTTTGCTATAGGGTGCATGTGCTTGCCAGAAAGACAGAGAGACAGAAAGACAGAAAGCGAGAAATCACCCCCCAGAGGGGATGGCCATGCCGCAATCCCTTTTCCTCCATTCTCCTCTCAGGATCTTGGACACACACACACACGCCCGGCATGAGTTTTAAGCCATTGGGTCCGGGACTCGAACCGCAGTCGACTACATGGGAGTCCGTCGACATAGTCATTACACTAATTGCTGGTCCCACTTACTAGAGATTTATTTTATTATTTAATTTAAATATTTTTCGTTATTTATGATAGACCATGTGGACACATGAGAGTGAAAGACAGAGAGGGAGAAGTACTCTTCACAGGTTCCAACAAGACTGTACTCTTCTTCCTCTAGCCCATTAGATCGGGGACACCAGTGTCCAGCATATTTCACTCTGACAGGTCTGAGGATCCAAACTGTGGTGGCTGTGTGCTCTCTTGAGTAGCACATTACCCCTGTGCCACAGAACTAGCCTTATTTCACTGTTTTGTTTTGTTTCTAAATAATGTCTCACTTTATCACAATCCTTTAGTCTCAGCCTCCCAGATGGCTAGGACCACAGGCACATACCACCATGCCCAGTTCCCTCAGACAGGGTCTTACTATGTTACCCAGTCCAGATCCAAGTATCTAATCCCCTGCCACCGCTATTTGCTGGGACTATGGTTGCCTGCCAAGGCGTCAGGCCATTTGATTAGACTGGCAATGGAACTCTGGCCTCAATGTGGTCCCACCCTATAGAGCACAGCATCTCAGCAGTGTGTGCCACGACAGTAGGCCTGGGGATTTATTTTAATTTTTTCTTAGTTTTCTTTTTTTTTATTTAAATTTATTTATTTACATTCATTCAATGTACATCATTACAGCATACAAAATGAGATTTTCCATCCAAAATACACTGTATATTGGCTCAATCAAACATATCAACATATGTGTTATCATCAACAAATAATTTTCCATTTCTTGTTTCCTGTATATTTTGCTTTTTTCCCCATCCTTGATTCCCTCTCACCTTCTGCCATCTCTCACCCTCCTCCCAGATTTTTAATGTTTTAGTTTTAAATGTTTTACTTTCATTTACTCCTTTAAAAATTCATCCTTATTTATATTTTTTCCAGAATTTCTTGTCTTTCCCTTTTCTTCTATTTCTTTTTAACTTTTAATTTTGCTTATTCACAATAACTTAAACTTACTCTATTTTCTATTTTTCCTTTTCTTTTAGTCCTCCTGGCTTACATTAACCAATGAATTAAATTTTTATGCAACTTTCTACTGTTTTATTGTCCTTTTTGATTATTTTAACTACTTTAACAAATTATTTAAGACATCTATTACCAATATTTTTTTCTGACCCTAATATGATGCTTCCTACACAAACTTTATGTTTGTGATTATATCAATTTGGAAAATTAAGAAAGGGAAATAAGCCAGATGTGGTTTCAGAGGGGAGCATTCTGATCTGCAGTGCTGGAAGTCAGATGCCAACCACGGGTCTGGATGCCAAGCTGACATGAAATAAACTGGATACACACATCCAAGATCCTGACTAGTTAAAGAGCTAGGAAACGGGGATCCCGTATTCGTATCTTTCTCTCTTGTGTGCATGTGTGCAAATGTTCTTTTTTTTTTTTTTTTTTTTTTGCTACACCAGTTTTATTTAGAACACAAATAAGCATTTCTCTTTCTGTAATGGTGAATGGTTCAAATAATGCTGAACATGCATCACTGACTAATACAAGTGCTTTAAATATGAAAGAAAAAAATTTTAAAGCAAAAGAAGGTTATATACAAATGGACCTGGAATCTATAAGCTGATTCCAAAATAAAACGAGCAGAAACTCTGTGGTGAAACTAGCACATTCCACCCCTGCTTTGGAGAAGGGCCATCACACAACCCTCAGTCAGCTGGAGATGGACTGGTAGAGATGGAGCTATATACACATTTCAAGTCATTTTTGCTTATGCAGAATCATCCAGATCTTCCTAAGACTGAATGGGCCATCCTGTGGCTTTTTTCCTCCTCCCAGTTCTCCACAAGGTGACATGACGTCCAACTCTTGATGAGCTGCTTACAAGAGCAGTTCCTCAGGAGCCAACATGACAAGTGGGTCAGATCTCCCCATGAGGAACACGACTGGCCACTACAGCGAAACACCAAACTGGACAAGTCCTTCTTCCCTCTGCCTTCGATTATGTACAACGTGTCTCCTTTCTATACAATTATCCCCATCACTGCAAATGTTCTTTCTGAAGCACTCCATCTTTCTCATAAAAGAAACAAACTTTTGAAAAATCAAGAAAAAGAAAAGACTCAATTAACTTTTGAGTTGATACAGGAGAATAATACTGTGACAAGAGTCATCAGTAAAATGCAACAGGAGCCATTCCTTCCATTTCTGTAATGTTGTTTAGGCCAACATAACAGCACAACATAGCATCCTGTAAGAGCCAGAGTGCCTGATTCTTTTGTTGAAACCAAATTTGCCTTGTGAACTGAATGCTCATATAATATTATAGATACTTTATCTCAAGACCACATCAGAAAAAGGTTAAATTCTCTAGGCCTGGAAATACACGTTCATCAGTATGTGTGGGATCCTTAAGCTTATTATGCTTAATTTTTACTATCTTTACTGTGGACTTTGTAAAAACAAAAACAAAAACAAAAACAAAAACCCTTTTTACAGCAGATAAAATAATTGCCACTAATTGCTCTGCCTTTGAGAAAACAGGCCAAGGAAAAAAATATGTATCTTCTACCATGTCAAAGACTTTCATTCCAAACTCCCTAGTGCACCCCAGTTCAGCATGAAGCAGTTCCAGAAGTTGGACCACCATCCCTACTCCACAAAAATGAACTGTAGGATTAACAATGGGGATTTGTAATCATGCCACAACAGAACCAAAGTGTCTCTGTATTATACTTACTCTTAGAGTCTATCGTAACAGATTAACCCTCAGGAAAATCAGTCTTTAACTTTTCCCTTGAATGGATCTAGCATGAAAGCTGACAATAACCTAGCTGAGTCTTTACAGATAATAGGCAAAGCACATAGGAAGGGGAAAGTCTCTCATTAAGCAGAGATGCATTCTGAGAAATATGTTGTTAAGTGATTTCATCTTTGTGCGAACATCACATAATGTATTTATGTAAACCTAGATAGTATAAACCATTATATACCTAGGTGGTATGATATAGCCTATTATATTGCTATGGGGGCACCACTGTTGACCAAAATGTTTTTATGAGTATATTTGGTTTTTGTCCCCAATTCCTGTAAGGGAATTTCTAAAACCCAATTTCCTGAGTGAAAGGAATATCTTCTGTTGTTCCTAACAAGTCCCTTTTCAATTGTACCTAGATCTCTTCAGTATAGGGACCAGAGAACCCAACCATGATTAGAGGGTTAGAATGTTCAGCCCCACCTCCAGACGGCTAGAGAAGGGAGAGGGGCTGGAGACTGGATTTAATCACTAATGGCAATGATTTAATCAGTCATGCCTACATAATGGAACCTCCATAAAAAACACTAAATGATGAAGTTTAGAGAACTTCCATGTTGGTGAACACATCAAGGTGATGGGAATGGGAGAGTTTCATGTCCCTTCTCCCATAGCTTGTCTTATGCATCTCTTCTACTTAGCAGATTCTGGTAATAGTAATCAAAGCACTTTTCTGGGTCGTTCTAGCATCCTTCAAAGCTACACTGTTAATATGCTCTAATCCATTAGCCACAACCTTAATAACAAACAAATATTAGAAAGATAGACGCCTATAATGTCTTGTCCTTTACCACTGTCTCACACATTATCAGAAGCTTTGCACTCACAAGCATATGTTTCCTGGTAGGTTTCTACTCCAAAGACCTAATTATCAAAACCAAAAATCAAACAGGGGCCAGCAGGTGGTGCGGTGGTTGGGGGCGCTAGACCACCACATGGCTGACCGTGGTTCAAATCCCAGACCTAGCAACTTGCTTTATCATTTTCCCTTGCTCTCTCTCACTCTGTCTCTCTCTGATCAAATTAAAAATAAATAAATAGATAAATAAATAAATAATGTAACTAAAACACACACACATGCACACACATATACCAATAGGTGAACCCTTTAATTTAAATCGTTATCATAGCTCCCCAACAGCTATGTCCAAAACTCCGAGCCCTTTAATTTATATCGTTGTCATAGCTCCCCAACAGCTATGTCCAAAACTCAAATTATTTTCTTTGCATTCTTAGGACAACCTAAGTTTTCAACTTTAATCTTTATCAACAGAACAACAATCCTCACTTAAATACAATTAAGCATTTAAAATCAGTAATATCTTTACTAAGGAAAACTTTATCAATCAGTAGTATTTTCTCTAAGGAAAACATTATCAATGAATAATAAAAATGAGTGCTGCACCCAGCATTGTGGCAAGGTGATAGGGTACCACTAAGTAAGGTTGGAGATGCATGACAGCCTGCAGTCAGTTCTCAAACCAACATTAACAGGACAGACATAGTGTGCACAACTAAGTAGGAGTCTACGGAAAGAGGATCATGGCATGGGGAGACTCTGTTAAAATAACCATCTCATTTTCTCTCTTACTCTCATAAATGAAAATAAAAATGAAATAGAAAAAAACATCTTTTCCCCTTATCAAACATCTCTCTATAATGTTTAACAAATTATAGAGCCAAATTTTAAGTGTCCTAATATTTTTATTTTCTTATGAGAGGTGAAAATATTCATGTGTTATCAAAGAGCACAGTGCTCAAAATGAGAGCAAAGATATAAGATTCTTAAAAGAAACTGAAGCTAATAAAACATCAAGACAAAAGATTTTTAAATGCCTTTGTTAAATATTACTTTTCAAAAAAAAAACACTTACCTTCTCTTTTCTCTACTATACATCTATTCAATTCTTGTATGGTTGTCTTATCAATGGATATATGTACTTTAAGTTCATCTACTTCTTCTTGAAGATTCATCCTATAAATATTAAAGCAATAAACAATAACTTAAAAAATGTACATTATAGAATATTGCAGCAAAGACAGTAATTATATTTTAAAATATGTAAATTAGAGAATACCAAAATAAAAGCACAACTATACTAACAGTGTAGTTAAAATTACACATGACTTTTAATGAAAATTTAGAAACTAAAATATTTTAAGTAAATGACTTCTGTTATCTTTTTAATCAATGAACATGCTAAACACTTAAAAGATGGACTATATGCTTTAAAAAAAAAACATGTACTGAGTTGCTTGACCATTTTCTAACACATAAATATGTTAGGTAAAATAGTAAAAAAATCTTAATACAGATTTCTGAAAGCAAGGCTAGTAAATCTCTAGATGGCAAATAAAGCCAAAGAACAGTTGCCAGTAAAATGGAACTGTGCTACATGATAAGTACGTGACCTGGATCAACTACTATGGATAGGGTCCTCAAACTGAAGCTTGAATGGGGATCAAAGTTTAAACTCAAGATCCTACAGGGCTGAGAGACAAAACTGAGATCATTTCAGAGAATTGTGAGTTCCATATGTATTGAATGAGAACCTTAATATCTGAGCTTACCTGGTTGGGGCTGCACTAAAAAGAGCCATCCAGAGGCCAGATGGTAGTGCAGCAGTAACATGAAGCTCCGTGAAGCTCACTGGACATGGGATGGCTCCAGACTCACATTTAGAAACTACTCAACATATTGAGCATGTGTATACCATAAAATGCATGCCATGGGGATTCTGTTGCGAGTGTTTGTGTCTGTCTCTCTTACTCAAAGAAGAAACTAATAATTAAACTAATAATTTAAAAAGATAAGAAAAAGTATCCTCCAGCCTCAGTCTGAAGCCAACCTCATGGATCAGAATCCTAAGACTCTATTACTATATTCAGAATTGAGTTATATACATTTCCAGAAATGTGACTAGACTGAAACACAAAAACTTGGAAATGGCCAGTGTATACCAGAGAATTCAGGCAGACACATTTCTAAGGCTCCTAAGAAAACTAAAACATGGACAAAAGAAAAACCACCACAGAAAATAATTCTCAAAGAGTTAGAAATAAGAATAAATGTATGAACAAGTTCAAAGTCCTGAACGGAAGTCTACATGTCGCCCAGCTCAAAATGGAAGAATGTACAATAAAGAAGTAAAAATAATAGAACTCAAATTAAAAAAACAAAAACAAAAAACTTTTCTATAGAATGTATGAGCTTGCCAGGGAGAGACACAGAGAGAGAAAGTTAGAAAGCATTCCCTGGAGGGGATGGCCATGTCACAATCCCATCTTCCCCTATACCTGGAGTCTTTCTTTCTTTCTCCCCTCTCCTCCTCCTCCCCATTACTTTCTTTTTTTTTTTTTTTCTTCCTTCCTTCCTTCCTTTCTTATTGAATCCAGAATCATTTATGCTTTAGTGAAATAAACTGGGCATGGGACCAGCAGTTAGCGTAATGGCTATGTTGCTGGACTCCCATGTAATCGACTGTGGTTCAAGTCCTGGACCTGGTGGCTTAAACTCATGCCGGGGGCGTGCGTGCGCGCGCATGTATGTGTATATGTGTGTGTTCCCAAGATCCTGAGAGGAGAATGGAGGAGAAGGGATTGCAGCATGGCCATCCCCTCTAGAGGGTGATTTCTCACTTTCTGTCTCTCTGTCTTTCTGGTGTATGCACACGCCCTATATCAAAAACTTCACAAACAATAGAACAAATATTGTTCTGTTTCACTTATATGAGGTTTCTGGAACAGTCAACTCACAGGAGAGAAAATACAATACAGGCTGAGTATCCTGATCTGGAATGTTTGAGACCAAAGATGCTTTGGATTATGTGTTCGCTTTTTTGGTTTTGGAATATTTACAGGTATGTCATGAGTGATCTTGGGGATGAGACCCAAGCCTAAACAAAAAATTACCTTATATCTTACCTATACTTACTGCACATAGCCAAAGAAAATTGTGTACAACACTTCTGTATTGCAGCTTTTTGACTGCCACTTGGCACGTGAGGTCATGTGTGGACTTTTCTACTTCTGACTTCATGTCGGTGCTCAAAAGGTTTCAGGCCTTAGAATATTTCACACTTCAGATTTTGGGTTAGGGATGCTCAATCTGCAGTGATTTCCAAAAGCATGGTACCATATGCTGGACACTGCTGCTTGGCACGCTGACCCCACATGGGAGGCCTGAGTGCCTGAGTTCCTGAGTTCAGGTTCTGGTCCACCTGGAAAGGCCAGTGTGATGGCTCATACCTGTGGTCTCAACTACTCAGGAAGCTCAGGCAAAGAGATCACAATACAACAACATTCCTTAATTTTAATTCCCTGAATGGAGGACTTGTCCCAAAAAGGACTGGAGCAAAACCTGCAGCTTCCTGGAGCTGTGGGCACTCCACTGACACTCAGGGCCACTTTCCAAGGCTTATGAAAAATTGGCATTTTCTAGCCACACACAGCAGAGCACTGAGTACCAGATAGGTGGCAAGTTGCTCAAGGCCAGGCAATGCTCTCTGGTACAGGCCAAGGAAGAGGAGCCTCTGTGCTTGCCAAGGCACTGACTGGGAGAAAAAAGAACCCGAGTTTCCTGGGACAGAAGGCACCGGGTGGGCGACCTCTGCTGCCAGTCTGGGGCGATTCAGGAGGAGGGTGACTTGGGTCAGCTGAGGCCCAGAACCCCCTGCTGGCCATGAGTGGTAGTGCAGAGTGAGTCTCACTGATAAGCTGAAGTAGAGCATGCTGTGCTAGGTACAGGGGTTGATGCAGGAGGAGGCTAACTCATCACAGCACCGTCCAGGCTCTCCTACTGTCAAGGGAGAAAAGCTCACTCCTGGGAAGTAGAACTCCATGTCTCTGGAAGCTGTGGGCACGCTGGTAGGACACCCCAAGGTGTTGGGCAAGTAGAGTCTGGCCACACCTGGTGTGTTTCTTAACCCAGGTCCAGGACTCAAACCACACAGGCCATGTTGGATCCAGCCACCCTCAACCACCATATCACTGGCAGGTCCCCAAATTATTTTTACATTTAGAGTTTTTAAAAATTTTTTTAAAAAAGATAAAGTGATATATACATACATATATATATATATATATACACACACACATGCACATACACAAACGTATATAAATACACTGAGATTTATTACACAAAAAGACATAAAAACCAAATAATATATATAATGCTAAATAAAGCAATGAAAATTAATAACTATAATAATAATAATTGAAAAGTTCAATGAATGGGTTAGATAGCATGCAGTAAAAGCTAATGAAAGTGGTTAAGTGGAAGACACCACGAGGAGACTAAGAGAAGGAAATAATGCAAGTATACAAAATGTGTTGAAATGAGTACTCTAGAAAGCACTCAATAGAAATTATTCCAAGACAGCCATCCCCCCTGGGGGGTGATTTCTCGCTTTCTGTCTCTCTGTCTCTCTCTATCTGTCTGGCGAGCGCACACGCCGTATAGCAAAAACCTCTCCAAAAAAAAAGAAAGGGACCGGCAGTTAGCATCATAGCTATGTCGCTGGACTCCCGCCGTTCACGTCCCAGACCCGGTGGCTTAAAACTCATGCCGGGCGCGTGTGCGTGCGTGCCCAAGATTCCAAGAGGAGAAAGGAGAAGGGATTGCAGCGTGGTCATCCCCTCTGGGGGGTGATTTCTCGCTTTCTGTCTGTCTGGATAGCAAAAACCTCTCAAAAAAAATAAAAAAAGAAAGAAAGAAAGAAAAAGAAAAAGAAAAAGAAATTATTCCGAGACAGAACTGAGAGAATGGCAGGCAGAAAGAGAAAATAGTCAAAACACAATAGGTGAGGATTTGAGAAGTGAAAAGAATATATGAATTAATAAGAGAGTATCTAAAATTGTAAGTAAAACAAATAAAATCACTTAGAAATATCACAGTAAAACTATCAATAAAAAAAATAGAGACAACCAGAAAGAAAAGAGTAAAACAAAACAAAAAAATCTCTAAACTAAAGAACTCTGAAATAAAAGCAGATTTCTTACATCAACAATCCAAAAGGAAAATAAGTAGTATTTCTATTTCTCTCTCTCATGGGATAAGTAACTTTTTAAAAAATGAATATCACACACTTAGAAAAAAATGTAAGGATAAAGATGATAATTACATAATTATCAAAGAAATGCTTTACCAGGAAAACAGTGATTCTAAGCTTTCATGTGCTAACAATCACAGCAATCCCTTCTCCTCCATTCTCTTATCAGGATTTTGGGCATGCATGTACATGTGGCCAAATATGAGTTTTAAGCCACCAGGTCCAGGATTTGAACCGCAGTCAACTGCGTGGGAGTCCAGTGATACAACCATTAGGCAATTCACTGGTCCCTCCCACCAAATTCTTACAATAATTAAAGTTATATAAGGGTATACAAAGTAAAAAAAAAAAATGAGTCTTTTTTTCACTGTCTACTTCTTGAAAAAAATGAATGTTTACAGCTTGATGTGTATACTTTCATTTTTCATTCATGTAAACATATACACACGTGTATGAGGTTTTTTTAAAACTGGAATCCTGTGACATATATTACAGCCTCCCAGGTGGAATACAGATTAATAGGAGGAACACAGACAAATACATATATACACTCAGCCACACAAATTTGAATTAGCTTCCTGATTTGTTTAGCTAATACCACGGAACAGACTGGATCAAGACAGCTCCACAAAGAAAAAGCAGATTAACATCTCAATTTCTCTTGGCTCTCAAATTACAAACCCAGCAGCACACACTGATACAGTTGTTGGGAATGTTCCTTTTTGCTTCTTTTGAAATATTTACACTTACAGTTTGTTCCTTTTAGGAATAACAAGACAATCCCTACTTTTCATAAGAAATACTTACAGACATCAGAGACCACTATGTTCTTGAATCAAACTAAGCATCATCAAGCCACATATTAAAGGGTATTTGGAGAAGGCAGACAGAATCAGTGCCCTGGCACCCCGAGCAGAATAAGGTT